TCCACTCAGACCTCTCGAGACAGCAACCATTCGGTCAGCTCGTCAGGCCGCGCGCGCACTACGGCCCTCCAGTTTGTGAAGAACACGTGGAACAAAAGAATGTGAGATGCAGCTCGCTCCCGCCTACCACAAACCTCCAATGGTGAACTCTTTTGCGCCGTCCAGTCTAAGCACGACCGTTTGTGTGAGCTCGTGACGAGCGACATCACAGCCCGGGGTGCTGTAGGATGCAATACAGATACTAGTACTATATATTGCAGATGCAATGGCCGTGGGTCACTCCATAGCGGGTCTCCCATGTGACGACATTTCCACATGCCGTTCGACGCAACAGCTCTCAGGCTCCCTGCTGCTCCTTGTCACCAATTCAGCCATATCTCATTGGATATGTCTGCTGTTAGAAATGCATGGAGGGTGTCGCTTATAATTCAGGATGTCTGTCGTACGTATGAGCTGTGATCCGCTTGACTGAGTGACTAAAGCAGTGCGACAGGCAAGTCTTCGAAAACTGTTACCAGCCGTACAGCCTGAAGGCAACTAGACCCTGATTCTCCCACAAGAAGCGTCACCGGCAAAAGCACATACTGAACCGAGATCTATGCGCACCATTGGCGTCGTTATCTCGAATCGGCTTTCGTTACCCTATGGCCACTGGCAGATGCGATCACGAATAGGATACACCTTACACGTCCCATATTAAACCACAGTATCTGACTGACCCCCAGCCTGCAACCCCCTTGCACACGACGAAATGACCTTGTATACTGCATCTCTCCCACTGATTCCCCTAGCAATCGGTATAGTCTACCTGTTCGTTGCTGTCCTCAATAGGCCAGGACGACGTCGACTTCCACCTGGCCCTAAAGGTCTTCCCATCTTAGGGAATATCCTCGACGCACCCAAGGAGCACGAATGGCGCACGTTTCAAGAGTGGGGTCGCACTTATGGTACGTGCCCTATGGAACCATCTCTTGTGGTGTATCTCTCATTCGTCTTCTGGCAGACTCGGATGTCGTGCATTTCCAGATTCTAGGGGCCCATTACGTGGTCCTCAACTCCGCGAAGGCCACAACCGAACTCTTTGAGAGGCGGTCAAATCTGCATTCTGATAAGTGAGTACTATCTTCAAGATTCCGGGCACGTGCCGATATTTAACCAACGTAGACCGCAAGCGGCAATGCTTAACTTGTACGTGTGACTATCCTGACTTAAAGTCGGCAACTGATGATCGTATGACAGGACCGGCTGGGATAGGAACTGGGGCCTGATGAAATATGGTGCCTTTTGGCGGGCACATCGCAAGATATTCCACCAACACTTCCGCTCAAACGCTGTGTTTGCATACCATCAAAGGTCAGAAAAGGCGGTGCGCCAGCTGCTCCGCTTACTCTACGCCGAGCCAGAGTGTTTTATCAAACATATCCGCTTGTGGGTTGCCAGCCAATGTCCAACTGCCGTATATTCATGTTTTTCCCTCTGTTCTTGAACTAGCATGACCGCATATAATATCATTGGCATCATGTACGGTGTGGATATCACCTCGGAAGGCGACCCCACTCTCGCAATTGTGGAAGAAGCTCTCGACATCTTGCAGAAAATTGGCAATCCTGGAGTGTATCTTGGTATTGTATCGATAAGTCTTTTGCGTGGCATCTTTGCTAAGTTATGCACCTAGTGGACTCGTTTCCTCTTAGTAAGTTTCAGACTCTCCTCTCGGTTCGCAATATTCATTGATCCCTACGTAGTGAGGTTCATACCCTCGTGGTTCCCGGGTGCCAAATTCAAACGCGACGCTGAGGCTTGGAAACCCATAGTCGACCAGATGTACATGCAACCATACAATGATGTAAAGACCGCTTATGTGGGTTCTATTAACTTTTCTCAAGCAAGTACGTGTTGAGTCCTCACCCTATTATCAGGAAAGGGGAGTGCCAAGACCATGCGTTGCGACGGAAATGCTAGCAGAGCTCTATAAGGACGGAGCAAATTCTCAGATGCTGGAGCAAGTCATCATCAACACTACTGGCACCGGATATGCAGGTTCGAGAAAGCAATACTTAACGACCTTATATTCATACTGATTGTCGGCTGTTGCAGCGGCGTCTGAGACGGCAAGCGGCCAGCTCACCCCTGCTAAAATGCTTACCAAACTATTACTCCTAGACCAGCGCGGTGTTGTCGGTCTTCATTTTGGCCGTGCTGCTGTACCCAGAAGTGCAGCTTGCAGCCCAGGCGGAACTTGATCGAGTTATAGGCACGGATCGCCTCCCGGTGATGGAAGATGAAAAGTCACTGCCATATATCACTGCCCTGGTTAGGGAAATATTACGGTGTGTGATATATGAGTGACAGGCGGCGGTCAAGAACTAACACCATAATCTTCAGTTGGAGGCCAATAGTCCCGTTAGGTACACAAATTTTGAGTCGAGCGTGAAAGCCAGTGACGGCTAAAATGATGCTGGTTAGGTGTTGCACATCAGTCGATTGCAGACGACGAGTATGAAGGGTATCATATTCCTGCTGGGACAGTTATTTTTGGAAATGCACGGTGCGTTATCTCCCGAGTTTGGCTATTTTAAGCCTTTCATGACCTGCTGGGCTCTGCAGAGCCATTCTCCACGACGAAGAACAGTTTCCCAACCCGGACGTCTTCAACCCCAATCGCTTCCTCGACTCAGATGGACACCTGCTCAAGCACCTAGTGAACACTGTATCCAACGCGTTCGGTTTCGGCCGAAGAATATGCCCGGGACGTTATTTCGCGTTGGACGTCGTCTGGCTGACGGTTGCCAATGTCCTCGCGACCTTCAAGATTGAGAAGCCCTTCGATGAGATGGGGAACGTCGTGGAGCCCTCTGGAGAATTCATTTCCGGATTTATCAGGTGCGTGCAGCATCTGCCCTTCGTGTGCGAGTTAGCGGTGATTGAGACTTTGCCAGCTGTCCCGTTCCTTTCAAAGCCGTTTTCAAGCCGCGATCGACCGTTGCGTTTGCCCAGTAGCGTCCAGATGTGGTGTCAAGCTTCATAGCTCTCGTATGCAGTTTCAGGCGGAACGAGAAGAACGAGCCAGGGTCGGACTGAAGCATGAGACGATCACTGGAGTGTGTACATACAGTGACTCTTCGGACATGCTGGGACTCGTGAGAGAATTCACGGCTTCCCTGCTGCTCTCAAAGCCGCCTTCAGTGTACGATAGAATTGATAACATGGCAGCGCATTATGGTATCATAACAATAACGAGAGGCTGCTCAGATCCAAGAGTCCTGCCGGGGACTCGGGATATCGTTGTTCGAAGTCTTTGGTACCTATATGACCATTTTTCTATACTAAAACACTTCGGGGGTCGAAGCCCCGAGACAAAGACGCACTGTCATTGGCCAGTGATCCCTCTCGCGAGGCGCCTCTCACGGGGGCGTTCCTCTCATTTCTCATTCGATTTCCCCTTCTCAACTCTCTTCGCAATTCTCTCTGCCCGTGCTACGCACGGGCCACCCTCTCGTGCTTAGTATATGGTGCAAGCCTGACGATTGTAGCGTCGTTCGTCGCCGGGGTGACCCGTGTGACGATCGCACTGGTTCCCTAATCTGGCCAGGACAAACACGGCCAAATCTCAGTGACTGCATCCCGAGACTAGACGGAAGTACCAGTCCTTTGTCCGACCGTGACAATGTAAGTTTCTGCGCTTCCGCGCCCCGTACAGTTCTGTGCGACCGGAAAAGTTGACGGGTGCACTCGCGTTACTATCCAGGGCATCGCACGCAGCGCCTTCCGCTGGGCAGAGGGCGAACCATGATATGCTTCTGGAGATCGCACACTACCTCCCGAAGCCAAATCTTGCCACGATGGCCCTCACATGCCACACATGGCTCCCGGCCGCGCGTGAAGGGCTTTATCGCCGTACCTACTTCGACATCCACGACCGGAGGGTGTTCAGCCTCGAGCGGACTCTGCACAGCTGCGCACATCTGCGCGCCCTCGTGCGGCACCTCCGGTTCCACCGCGGTACCGTCGAGCCGATATACTACCCCACGCTCAGCTGCCTCGGGTTCTTCCCGGCGGGGAGTCTGCAGTCTGTCACCTTTGAGTCCTACACCGACCCCTCGCTGTATCGC